AGAGAGAGAGAGGGGAGGGAAAAAAGATGGATTAAATTAGGCTTTAGGTTTTAAGTTTGGGTAATTATGATTTAGAGAGAGAAGATAGATGAAATAGATGAATTAATATTTGATTTTAATTTGAAATTGAAAATTGAAAATTCTGATTTTTTTGTAATTTCATCTTTGCTAAATGCTTGAAAATGGGACATTTTGGCCCAAGTGGAGTCTGAATTTAAAATCTTGTACGATTTTTCTTTATTTTAGAGGAATAAAGTTGAGACGATTCTTGTAATTTCGTGTTTTGCCTTACTTTCCTTCAAATTAGTCGAATTTTGCTTGTTTTCATAATGGAAGTGCAATTGCATGGAGAATTGGCTAAATGAGGTGAGAAACTTTAGTGCCATCACAAGTTTTGGCTAAAATCTAATGTCACCTTCCTAACCAGCTACTTTTTTGCCCAATTGCTGATAAAAAAAAATAAAAAGATAGCTACAAGTCCGAATCTTAAGGATTGGGTAATATATGGAGGATTTGGTAGGTCTCACAATGACCAACGATGCTATCAATTTGGTAGTACAGACTGAGTAATAGAAAAAATTACTGGCTTGAATGAACTAGATGTTTGAAAACTTCGTTGTTGAGATGAACAAAAAGATTACTTCCATGCTGGGTACGTTATGGACCTGATTTAGAATGTTACTGCGAGTCTAAGTTTGCTGAAGGAAAAAGTTCCAAAGTTCCATCGCTGCAATTCTTTCTCCGAAAGATGTTGTGGCTACCTCAAAAATTAAAGTGCCAGGTCCAAAATCACTCGACAGTGCACAAAGTGCAAAGGAACTGGAGAATTTTCTCTTGGGACATGATGCTATATTTGTTGTAATTATTCAATAATCATGCTAAAAATAAAAATCACATATATTAATTGATAATTTTAAATTCATACATGCGGAAGACATTTGTGTTTATAAATATTACCAGCTATATCTTCCTCTCCTTACTCTTCAAAAATAATCGGCCGTTAATGAGACATGCCAAAACAATATGGAGATAAGAGGGGATGTGACGTTCCCCCTTAATGTAAT